GACTTGGTTTGAATCCACTTTAACCTGGGGGGCTTTAGTTTGATTCCATCAACAGGGGTTATTCCTGGGCCACATGTACATGCACTCCAACCTCTCCTATGAGGGAGTTGTTTCTAAAGCTGTAGATTATTTCACTGTTGTTGGTTTTTTTTTGTTGTTTGGGTTTTTGTTTATTTGTTTTGAGGCAAGGTCTCCCTGTAGCCCCAGTTGGTCTGAAAGTTGGTATGTAATATATATGAGGCTGACCTCAATCCCAGAGATCTGCCAGGCTGTGTATCACCACGTCAAACCTTGTTTTTTTGAAACAGGGTCTCCTGTATCCCAAGCTGACCAGGAACTCACTGTGTAACTGAGGATGATCTTTTTTCTGATCCTCCTGCCTACACCTTCCAAGGGCATGGGCCACCATATGTAGTTTATACATCTTGAAGAATGAACCCAGGGCTTTCTTCATGTTTTATCAGCAAGTACCGTACCCATTCAGCTACATCCCCAGCCCTACTTTGCTCTCTTAAGGCCTTCATTGCCTTGTTTTATTTGCATAACAAAAGCATCAGAGCTTTTGGTAGAGGACTTGCCTAGTGTGAGCAAAACCCTGACTTAATTTCCAGTACCGTAAAGATTAACCTCGTAGCAAATAGGTGCTCAGCTCCCACTGTTCATCACCATTGCTGGAAGTGGATGCTGTCTCTCATAAGTGACAAGTTCCTTCTAAATGGACTTAGTACACAAGAGAGCAAGGGGTGGGCAGAATGACTCAGTGGATAAAGTGCTTGCTAAGTAAGCCTGACTATTGGGTTAGATCCCTGGAACCCATGCCAAGATGAACGGAGACAATAGACTCCACGAGTTGTCCTCTGACTTCCACATGCATCCCCTGGCATATGTGCACACATGCACACAATAACAGCTAACTAATGAATTAATTTAAAAAATACTTGAGAACTGGGCTTTCCTTAGTTGCCAAAAGAAAACAAAGTGCTTTGTTGTAAGGGCCAGAAAATCTTTTCTTTAAAAGACTGGCTACTAAATACTGTAGACTTTGTAGGCCAGAATCTGTCTTAACTACTCAACTCTGCTGTTGTAACACGGAGCCACAGGTGATGTGTGTAACAAGTGAGAGTAGTTTATTCCAATAAAACTTCATGCCATTAAATATTCTTTTTTTAAACCAAAATACGAAAGTAGTCAGTGGACTGGTTTTGCCATAGACCATGGTGTGCCAGACCTTGCATTAGATACAAAAAACATTACCATTGAAATCTACCTGATGACTTTATATCCATGCTCAGATGCCAAGGAGTTCAGAAAGTACTGTATCCATTCAGCTACATCCCCAGCCCTACTTTGCTGTCTTAAGGCCTTCATTGCCTTGTTTTATTTGCATAACAAAAGCATCTGAGCTTTTGGTAGAGGACTTGCCTAGTGTGAGTAAAACCCTGACTTAATTTCCAGTACCATAAAGATTAACCTCGTAGCAAATAGGTGCTCAGCTCCCACTGTTCATCACCATTGCTGGAAGTGGATGCTGTCTCTCATAAGTGACAAGTTCCTTCTAAATGGACTTAGTACACAAGAGAGCCATAACAAAGGCTCTTGGGTAGGCAGAAGACTTGAAGGGGTGGCAGAATGACTCAGTGGATAAGGTGCTTGCTGAGTAAGCCTGACCATTGGGTTAGATCCCTGGAACCCATGCCAAGATGAATGGAGACAATAGACTCCACGAGTTGTCCTCTGACCTCCACATGCATCCCCTGGCATTTGTGCACACATGCACACGATAACAACTAACTAATGAATTAATTTAAAAAATACTTGAGAACTGGGCTTTCCTTAGTTGCCAAAAGAAAACAAAGTGCTTTGTTGTAAGGGCCAGAAAATCTTTTCTTTAAAAGACTGGCTACTAAATACTGTAGGCTTTGTAGGCCAAAATCTGTCTTAACTACTCAACTCTGCTGTTGTAACACGGAGCCACAGGTGATGTGTGTAACAAGTGAGAGTAGTTTATTCCAATAAAACTTCATGCTATTAAATATTCTTTTTTTTAAACCACAATACAAAAGTAGTCAGTGGACTGGTTTTGCCATAGACCATGGTGTGCCAGACCTTGCATTAGATACAAAAAACATTACCATTGAAATCTACCTGATGACTTTATATCCATGCTCAGATGCCAAGGAGTTCAGAAAGTAACCGACTGTGACTAGTAATAATCAGATATATAGAGATTAGAAATGCATGTGCAAACATCTTAGTGTCAATTGCATTAAAAATGATTTTTTTCTGTATGAAACTGATAATGAAATTATTTTAATAATGAAATGGAGATCTTTTTAAAGGTTAAAACCTCATTTAATTTTATGTCTTATAGGGTTTATGCTGAGTACAATATTGTAGAACTGTAATAATTCAACTGTAAACCTAAAAATTTACCACCAATTTTGATCCCCCAAGTGCTGGGATTAAAGGCGTGTGCCACCACAGCTTGAAATGGAGATCTTTTTTAAAGGTTAAAACTTCATTTAATTTTATGTCTTATACGGTTTATACTGTATACAATATTGTATAACTGTATTAATTCAACTGTAAACCTAAAAATTTACAGCCAATTTTGAAAGAGATGCATCTTAGTTCTGGAAATTGTTATTGAATATGTCAATGCTGTTGTAATGAAATGCTTCTAATTATGTGGTTATTAAATAATTTTAAAAAAAAGACCATCCTAATTAAACTCCTTGATTTTTTTTTGTGTTTTGGGTGCACCTAGTTTTCATGCAGTTATGTCATGTATGTCTGTGATAATCATTTTCTGTGTTGTTTGAGATTTCATATAATTATGTATGTCTCGTGTTGAGCTCTCAAGTAATTCTGTCAAAAAAAAAGACCATCCTAATCAAACTCCTTGATTTTTTTTTTGTGTTTTGGGTGCACCTAGTTTTCATGCAATTATGTCATGTGTGTCTGTGATAATCATTTTCTATGTGTTGTTTGAGATTTCATATAATTATGTCATGTATGTCTCGTGTTGAGCTCTCAAGTAATTCTGTCATATGTATCTGTGATCATTGTCTTCATGTTTCTGCCAAAACAAACCAGCCACTTCAGTTATTCTTTTCATTTGTTTATTGTGCACAAGATTATTGGTTTTACTTTGTTGCATGCCTAATTAAAATACATGTGCAGATTTATAAAAAAAAATAGGAAAGAGAATTTGTTGACATTAATGAGAGTTCAACAAAGTAGAATTCAATGTCTCTAGGTCTATTAAGTGTTTCACAAAACTTTTAAGTGCTATTTGATTATACAAAACAGTATCTGAAGCTGGGTGTGGTGGTGGTGCATGCCTTTAATCCCTGCACTCCCAAGGCAGACGCAGGTGGAGCTCTGTGAGTTCAAGGCCAGCCTGGTCTGCACAGTGAGTTCCAGGCCAGCTGGGGCTACAGGGAGACTGTCTCAAAAACAAAACAAGACAAACAAACAAAACAGTGTCTGAGCTGGTTGTTTAAGGACCTTATTTGTTACATACCGTTTGGTTTGGGTTTGCTTTCATAGTGTTTGTTTTAGAGTATCTCTTTGGTTTGCTGGCTTTGGAAGTATTTTGGTTTTGACAGTCTCAGTCTGTTTTGTGTTGCTGTCAGACCTCTAAAGGCCTGAAAATGATTCGCAAACAAAATTAAACTGCAGTTGGTTATAGGTTTGATTTAATATGTTAATGCATCTTCAGAGCTGGAGATGAATTCTGGGACTGGCCTTCCCGTCTCATCCTTTTGGCCTTGTCCTTCTCCCTGTTTGCTGCCGTGTGGCTCTGTATGCTGGCAGATGTGGCCTGTATGGGGGAGGGGTGCATTTCATCCTCAGGAAACTCTGCTGGCTCAGATATGGCTCTGTGGTTTTCTCTCTTGGAGCAACTGTTCCTTTAACTCTCATGTTTACATCTGCATTGAACTACCTTTATACTAGCTGTTGATAAAACTCCCATCAGCAGTTGAAACGAGGAATCTTAATTTGGCTTGAATGGAGGTCTCTGATACCTGGAAGAGCTCCCCCAGGCTCCTGGAGATGGCCACGTGGAGCGGTGCTTTTGTTTCTCTGGCTAGAGGACACCCGAGTTAGATGCAGTCGCACATGGCTTCTTCTGGGGTACCTTGTAAGAACTGATCCCCAAGAGGTCCTGAGCCGGTCTCCTGCCTCCAGAACAGCCTGAGACAAAATGGGATAACTATAGTGTGTTCAGAATAACTACTTACAGACATGATTATATTTATCTTGTAAAAATTACCATGTACTTTAATTCTAACTCTGAACAACCTCTAGACATCTCTGAGAATTAACTTACAATTGTTCTCTACAGTGTGTCTTCTTGGACGATGGGTAGTGATATGATTTGGGGTTTGTTTCCTTCATAGTCTTTCTCCCTTCTTCCTCACAGAAAGCAAAGGTGCACCCTGAGCCTGAGCTGTTGCTGTCGGGTTTGTTTCCTTCACAGTCTTCCCTCTCCCTTCTTCCTCATAGGAAGCAAAGGACCACCCTGAGCCTGAGCTGTTGTTGTCACAGAACTGCCAGACCTGCAGACTTGGCATGCTGGTTCCTCTGACTCTGTGCTGTGTGCTTGTGCTTTCATTTCTCTCATTCTAAGTTCCTGTATGCTACTATGGGAAAGGGTTAGCTGTAAACAACTGCAATTGAATTGTACTCATAAACTATTTTCTTATACTCTATGCTTTCGGGATTGTCAGTTTTAAATGGTGTAATTGAATCGTACTCATAAACTATTTTCTTATACTCTATGCTTTCGGGATTGTCAATTTTAAATGGTCTTTAATACTAGACTGATTGTGTATTGCCTTATTAAGACTAAATACTTATTCCATTCTTCACTCTCTCATTTCATGGAATTGTCTTTAATGAAAACTGTTTAAACATTAGCTTGTTTTAATCATACTGTAACTTTTGGCTAGCTTTGAGTGCAAATGAAATGCATAATTCTGTTTTCCATCACTTGTTGAGTTTGAAACTAGTTAGGAATATTTACCGTATTAAAATGTAAATAATATTTCTGAAAATGCTTTCTTCAAGTGAAAGCCCTTATGTCTAGCATCAATGTGTATGGTTCTGTTCAGCACAGCCATTTCTTTTTTTAAAATATTTTATTTATTTTTTTATGTGTATGTGTGTATTGCCTGCATGTAGGTAAGCATCTGTGTCGTGCAGTGCCAGCGGAGGACAGAAGAGGCTGTTGGATCCCCTGGAACTGGAGTTATGAACAGTTGCTAGCTGCCATGTGGGTGCTGGGATTCAAACTTGGGTCTTCTGCAAGAACAGCAAGTGTTCTTAACTGCTGAGCCATCTCTCCAGCCCCCAGCACAGCCATTTCTGAGATGAGATTCTCATATATATTTAAGTGTGTGTGTGTATGTTTGTATGTGTATGTGTGGATGTATGAAGTATTGCTGGTTTTTAAAATTTCCTTTATATACATGTACTTGTACCATTTTAACAATAAAAGATTTTAAATGTTATTAGTTTGACTTTTAAATTTTAGAATTTTATTCTGATCAGAATTAATAATTTACTAGATACCAAATTGACTTGTAAGTAAGTTCTCATATAAGCTGAAATTGTTAAATTACAACATGGTTCCTATTACTTAAGAATATAAATTAATAAGAAATGATTACTTCTGCTCCAGGATGCAATTTATCTCTGTGTTTCGATATGTTTTATATAAAATAAACATTTTCCAAGTCTATATAAAACATCTCTAAACCTGCTTCAAGGCTTACAAGGACATCTCAAAGTTTATACATTATAATAATATACTTAAGGAAATTGCTCATCTTTTGTATGTGAGGTAAAATATTAATTGCTTGGTAAACTTGTTTATAATGTTATTAAAGGGTTTCTTAAAGTCTGAACAAGGTTATAGCACAGTTTTCCTTCAGTGATTATGCTGGAGGTTGTGTACCAGTTGTTTCTCTACCTAGTATTTATACGACTTCGTTGGTAGACCACTCTCTGAACTACACCAAGTAAAAAGATTTTAATGGTTTTGTGTTTTCTATAAGGTCTACCTGGGAACTTAAAGCACAGTGTGTACATGGGTAATATTAGCTCATTATATTAATGTGTGTAATTTGGAGTCCATGTTTTTTTTAATAAGATGATGCTGTCCAGTATTCTTCTAAGTCAAATAATTGCCATCTTCATGACTTCAGCTGTGCCTGCTTACAAAGGATCATCACAATTGGGCTTGTTGATGGTCATATTCCTTCATTAAAGGGGAAGTAAGCACGGTCATTGGACCCTCACCTGAGTATCCAGACATTCTTCCCAGCCGGCTGTATGCAATTCTGCCCTAATTGCAAATGGTCTCCTGAATTTAAAGGGACTATAGTAGTAAAGATTTATATGTAAAGATTAAAAGGACACGATATTTCCAGAATAGAAGGGATAATGAAATTCATTTTTTAAAAATATTTTATTTGCTGAGCGTGGTGGCGCACGCCTTTAATCCCAGTCCAGGCCAGCTGGGGCTACAGAGAGACCCTGTCTCAAAAAAACAAAAAAAATTTATTTTATGTGTATAAGTGCATTGCCTGCTTGTATGTGAGTGCACCCATATCATGCAATGCTGTGGAGGTCAAAAGAGGGCTTCAGATTCCTCTGGAACTGGAGTTAAGGATGGGGTGCTGGGAACTGAACCCTGGTGTTGTGCAAGAGCAGTCAGTGCTCTTAACTGCTGAGCCATCTCTCCAGCCCTGAAATTCATTTTAAGCAAACTTATTAAAGGTCTGAACAGGTTTATTGAGATAGAGTTAATTTTCAGTCCATTCCTCTGGGTTGTACTGCACAATGGGTTACAGATTTGGATTAAATAGATGCAGATAAATATTGGGTTACTATGGCTACTGAAAGATGTCTTTAATGTTTCTCTGTATTATGCAAATGTTACTTTTTTGACACTTTCTTTTGCCCATAACAAGAATAATTTGACTAAAAACAAACAAACAAACTAGGTTTTACCTCCTTGAACCAGATGTATACAAGCTAGGAAAAAAAAAAAGCCTGAGGAAATGCTTCCCAGACATTAGACTTAAAAGTTTGTATGAGATATTATTCAGAAAAATTCTCACTAGGATTTTGTTCTTCCTACAGCCGAAAAGGCCAAGTCCACTATTGTTCTTATCAAAATTAAATGATGGTTAAATATCTTCTCTCCCCTGTCTAGAAGACATGTCAGAGAAATTTCACAGTGTTACTCTAGCCACTCCAACAGCTATCATAATGCCTGAGAAGCAGATCCCGAGTCCAGCTGTCATGGCCAAATGAAAAATAAGGAAAACCCAATAAATGGATGCTTTTGGAAGCCCTCATCAAGAAATTCTAATGCATTTAAAATTCACCCTGTTCTGACTTCTGGTTTCCTGCCTGTAATTTATGCCTAACTACTCTTGCCTTTACTTCTCTTTCACAGGCATCAATCAAGGTGTTCATTTTTCTGTATAGCTATACTTTTGGGTTTTTGAGGTAGACCAACTGAAGCAGTACTCCATTTGCCACACCACACCCTGTGTCCTTGTTCTCTTGTTCAGCATAGAAGAAGCTAGATCAGTCTGTCTTCCAATTCCCAATAGCAAATTGGATTAACTCTTCAGGAAAAAATAATAATAAAAATAAAAAGTAAAAATTAAACAGTTTTAAAGTAAAAACCCCCAAAGAAAAATGACCAGTTTCTTTCTCAGCTGAAAGCTGGAAAAATTCCTTGGTTCTGCCAGTGAGCCTATCTCTAAGACCAGAGATGCCAGAACCATAAAAACAAGGTATTCGTACTGGGAACCTGGAGTAGCCAGTGCTCTTAACTGCTGAGACAACTTTCCAACCCCTTATTCTTACTCTTTTTTTTTTTTTTTTTTTTTTAATAGCAGGAGGAGTTATTTGAGCTTACGGTTCCAGGGGAATTACAGTCCATCAAGGCAGGGAGGCATAGTGGCTGGAGGTGGCTGGAGCAGAAGCAGCAGAAATTAAGCTCTCACATCATCAAGCAGGCACAGGAAACAAGAGCACTTTTTTTTTTTTTCCTGGTCTTTCTTGAGACAGGGTCTCCCTGTAGCCCCAGCTGACCTGGAACTCACTATGTAGACCAGGCTGGCCTTGAACTCCCAGAGATCTGCCTGCCTCTGCCTCCCAGTGCTGGGATCAAAGGCATGCGTCACCATGCCTGGTACTCTTACTTTTTTTTGAAGGTTAAGAAGTTTATTTAGAAGAATTATTAACACCATGAGCAGACAGAAGCATGGGGCAGGGGCTCTGAAGTGGAATCGCACTTCTTGCAGCTCTCTGAGGAAGGGAGTGCTCCACAGCAAGAGCTGGCAGCCAGGCTCTCTGATTCCCAGGCAGGAGGCAGGGAAGGCAGGGACAGGATACGTGTCCACCAAGACCCTCTTTGATGTAAACTCATTTTTTGAGACAGGGTGTCCCTGTAGCCCCAGCTGACCTGGAACTCACTATGTAGACCAGGCTGGCCTTGAACTCGCAGAGATCTGCCTGCCTCTGCCTCCCTCTGCCTCCCAGTGCTGGGATCAAAGGCATGCGCCACCATGCCTGGTATTCTTACTCTTTTTTTTTTTTTGAGGTTAAGAAGTTTATTTAGAAGAATTATTAACACCATGAGCAGACAGAAGCATGGGGCAGGGGCTCTGAAGTGGAATCGCACTTCTTGCAGCTCTCTGAGGAAGGGAGTGCTCCACAGCAAGAGCTGGCAGCCAGGCTCTCTGATTCCCAGGCAGGAGGCAGGGAAGGCAGGGACAGGATACGTGTCCACCAAGACCCTCTTTGATGTAAACTCATTTCCCGGGATCTGAAGTCTGTTAGCTAGAGACTCACCAGCAATGCTGTCAGTGGCTTTCAGTATCTGTGAGAGGGGAAGGGCTGAGGCAGGTACTGTGGCCTGAGCAGCAGTCTGTCTGGATTCTAACATCACAAATACCTGCTCCTACATATGTTCATGATATCACCATCGAATATTCACAAAACAACAGATATTTTCATGGATGAGATAGAGCAGGCCTCTAGAACTCATGCAAATCAATTCCATGTATCGTTCCCCAGCTTTATATCCAGTAGTTTGAAATTGTCAATGTTAGGAATATTCATGCAACAAAAATTGACAAATACCACAAATAACATGTGTGTTCCCAGGAGCCACACTTGGGACATGCCATTCAGGTGCTGATGCTTCTCATGTATTTCTCCAGGGCACAAAGCCTGTATCTTTTTCTTTTTCTTTCTTTTTTTTTTTTTTCATTTTTAAAAAATTATTTAATAACCAAATAATTAGAAGAAGCATTTCATTACAACAGTATTGACATATTCAATAACAATTTCCAGAGCTAAGATGCATCTCTTTCAAAATTGGCTGTAAATTTTTAGGTTTACAGTTGAATTAACACAGTTATACAGTATTGTACTCAGTATAAACTGTATGGGACTTAAAGTTAAATGAGGTTTTAACCTTTAAAAAAGATCTCCAGAGCCGGGCGTGGTGGCGCATGCCTTTAATCCCAGCACTTGGGAGGCAGAGGCAGGCGGATCCTTGTGAGTTCAAGGCCAGCCTGGTCTACATAGTGAGTTCCAGGACAGTTGGGGCTACAGGGAGACCCTGTCTCAAAAAGACCAATAAATAAATAAATAAATAAATATATCCATTATTAAAATACAGTTTCACACAGAAAAATTCATTTTTAATGCAATTGACACTAAGATGTTTGCACATGGGTGTCTTATCTCTATCTAATTATTATTAGTCACAGTCACTTTCTGAGCTCCTTGCATCTGAACATGGATATAAAGTCATCAGGTAGATTTCAGTGGTTTTTCACATCTAATTATTAAGGAGCAAATTTTTGCTTTGAAGAATTAATTTTTTATCATTTTTTAAATTCAATAACCACATGATTAGAAAAAGCATTTCATTACAGCTTTGACATACTGAGTAACACACTCCAGAGCAAGAACACATCTCTTTCAAAAGTGGTTATAAAATGTTTAGGCTCACTGTTGAATTAATACAGTTATACAATATTGAACTCAATATAAGCCTTGTAAGACATAAAATTGAAGGAGTTTTTAAACTTTAAAAAAGATCTCCATTTCATTATTAAAATGCAGTTTCATACAGAAAAATTCATTTTTAATACAATTGACACTACAATGCACATGTGTTTCTAATCTCTATATATCTGATTATTACTAGTC